GGTGAGCCTCATGTGTTCCTTTGCTGTCTTTGTTTCTGGATTCTGTTGCATGGTTATGGAATTTGACAGTGGGACAGTGAGAGACGGGTAGTGAGAGAAAGTGAGTAAAAGGAGAAGAGCTTCGGTGAGCTAGTGTTTTATGGCCGATTGAAGTGTATGATACCAGTTTTTGGGCTTGCATGTAGTGTTGATGCTCTGTTTTGAGATTACCGAACAGGGGCTTAATTTTTGGAGCTATGGATGTCGGTTTCTAAGATCTTGGAAAGAAAGAAAACAGAGTTGCGTTTTGATCTTCTTATCTGCATGTGATATCTGAAAGGCTGTGTCGGTGCTCTGGTTCTTGGTGGCCGAAACTGATAAATATAAGTGTGTACATATATATGTTTTGCGTGTGTGTATTCGGTCTAAAGGTCCTTCTCTTCGTCTCTGTTTCTTGAATCCCCCGACAGAGCATGTTATGGCTGTGAAGTGAGTGCTGTAACAGACTCAATATTTCTTGGTCTGTGTCGCTTTGAGTGCTGTCATGGGATTGGAATTTTATAATCTAAAGTAATAGAATAGATATATATATATATATATATAGATGTGCGTGGGTGTGCATGAGTGTTGAATCATAAAGGAAACGAAGAAAGAAGATGTGATTTATTTAAATATGAAGCTGCTTGATATTTGATTCTGTTAATGATGATTTTGTGAGACTGAACTTTGTTGTTCAGTTTATCAAGGGTATCGGGTTCGATAGAGATGAAGTGCAGTGCTCAAAATTGATCCAAACTTGCTGTCTCTTGCTTTTATATATATATATATATATATATATATATCTATATAGGTTCAGTTGGTTCAGGTTGAAGGATAAGAATGAAGTGTGATACACACACACATATTCGAGTGCTTGTGTACTGAACATGGGAGCTGGAAGTTAATGACATTGAATCTGGAAAATTTCCAGATTTGTCATATAGGAGCATTTGGAGTGTTTGGGTCATTCTTAAACGATGTCCTTCTTCAATTAGATCCGTTCCTTAATGAACTGATGAGCAAGTTCGAGCGAAGCACTGAGAAGGGATCGGTTTAGGTTTTATATATGTATATTTGTTGGTTGTTGTAATGAAGCTATGGGTTCAATGGAAAGGAGATGTTTAGAGCCTAGTATGAATATATATTTGTGCTGCTGTCCGAACAATGGGTACATGTTTGGAATTGTTTATGATTTTCAAGTTTGCTAAAGATTGGTCAGGTTTCATGAAAATTTAAAGAGATGAATGAAATTCAAATAAATGTGTGTGTGTATATATTTTTCTTTTTCCACGGTACCAACCACTTAATAGTGGAGTTGAAATTGGAATAGGGAGACATGGCGTTACCCTTAAATACAATAATTAAAGATAATATATTTGACTAAGATAACCAGTTACTAAGTAAAGTAACTGTTTGGGTTGAGATAAGGAAGGAAACCCTCCAAAGAGAATAGTTTAAATGAGAAAAATTGTCCAGGATGACCAACTATTATGTAAGGGTAGAAATTGAAAGAGATTGGGATTTAAAGAGAGTTATTTAATTTATAAATTATGTTGGATCAAGCATTAACCTACCTTTACTAAAATAATAGGTTTTGATATCTGCAAAAGCCTACCGAAGAAGCTAAGAGAAAGGAAACAAGTAAGGTTTGATTTTGAAGCAGAAGGTTCAGGTAGTATTTTTTTTCCTACCTTACACTTGTGTATGATTGCTGCATGTCTTTTGTGCCATATTGCTTTTCTAAAGCATGAGAACATGTAATCCTTAATTCCTTGCATGGATTATTTAGCCGTGATCATGTGCAGCTGTTAGACATGGGGCAGTGATTGCCAATTATTTGCGCGGCAGTGATTGCCAATTATTTACGCTTTATTTATTCAGCTTGTCTAATAGACATGGGGCAGTGATTGCCAATTATTTGCGCGGCAGTGATTGCCAATTATTTGCGCATTATTTATTCAGCTTGTCTAATAGACATGGGGCAGTGATTGCCAAGTATTTGCACCTTATTTATTCAGCTTGTCTATCTGTCATTGCGCATAAATGCTTAATTGCATTAGCTTGCAAGGTTATGTTCCACTTTGGCTTGTTTTGCATGCTTTATGTGATCTGCACATTTGTTTGATGGAAATTACTACTACGGGGATTCTTCGGAATCTCACCCCCTAATTTATGATGAACAGTGAAGGCTAGTAGCTAGAAGGACAAGGAGATTATTTAAGAAAAAGGTGGGCAGGTTGAAGAACAGAGATACCTGTTATAATTCTGTAAATTGTGTAGCAAAATATATGGGCAAGTAACTTTACTTGCTCTATGGAAATATTATTTTGTATCCTCTAGAAGAAGGAAGTGAGCATTGCCAGGTGCACGTTTATGCTGTCAACCAAGAGCGTTGCTTTATTTTTAATATAATATTATAAGATTGTATAGTATGAAATTATTTTAGGTGATAAAAGATTAAGTTGAAAGCAGGGTTGATATTGGATCACTCAACAGTTATCTGAAGGGTTGAGATATTTGATCAACGGATTCCAATGTTAAAGGAAAAAAAAAATTCCCTGTCTTTTCCCAGGACGGAAACCTGGCGTTAGTGATTCACAGACGTTAAAATGATCCTATTAATATATATAAAAGTGAGGTGTTGCATACCAATTTTTCGCATAGGATTATAATTAACATAGTTCGTATTTTACAGTTATTATTGGACCCTAATTGTTTGTGTCCCTTTTGATAACAAAATCTACTGGTTCGATTCTCTCTGTGAAAGCCCAACTGAAGAAACCAGAGATGTCATCGACACGTAGTTTATGTTTATATATTTATTACGTGTGAAGTTTATAAAAATATGCTCTAATATCTTTTTTTTTTTTTAATTGTTGATAGGGTTTTTCATAGTTTCAGTGTTGTGGCCAAGAAGCAAAATAGACAACCACCAATATAGATTCTCCCACAAGTATGTTGTTTTGAGTTAAATACTATTATATACTTTTAAATATTTTTCAATAATTAAAGTTAATATTTATAATCAAAGTCTAATATTCAATTTTATATTTCATTCTGTTAGTACCGTTATCAACAAGAGAGTGTTGAATGTGGATATTATGTCATTCGCTACATGAATGACATCATTGAGACAGGGGTGGCTGAGAAATTAGACGAGGCAAAGATAAATTAAATTGCATGTAATTCTTCAATCCTTTTTATATTTTTGATCAAGTTGACTATGTTATTTTTTATTTACAGGTATTTCAAAATGGTGCACCATATCAAATGGAAGAAATCAACTTGATGAGGGACACTTTATCAACAGCATTACTGCAGAATTTTGAAAATTTGAAATAGTTAGGTCATTCCTTAGAAAATTCATTGATAGATTTTTTTCTCTTGTTTTCCCCCTATACATGTTCTTTAGTTCTATTCTGCAAACAGAATTCAGTGACCTCCCTTTCACTTGTTACTATTCTTTATTTCATTGTTTCCCTTGTACTTTGCTTCTCTACTTTAATAAGCTTTGTGCCTATGTTAAAAGAAATTTCAATGCTTGTTGTATGTATATATTAACTAGCTAGTTGATTATTTGTTCATATGGTCATCTTGAAATTATTCTGCATATTCTGCATTGCCTAGATTTGGGTCTGTAAACTGCAAGGAGGTGAAAAGAAATTCACACAGAATTAAAAAAAATTTTAAGTTTTTAACGGCGGTTATTCAAATAACCACGTTAAAACAATAGACCATGGCAATTATTAATAAAACCACCGTGTAAACTTGACTTTCTACGGCGATTCTTTTAAAAACCACCATGGAAGCCTTGGAAAGTCAATTTTCTATGGCGGTTTGTAACTGTCATATTTTATTTACCTTTCAATGTTGACTGTATCTACTTCGCCTCTAAAACCACCGTGAAAAATCCTAAATAATCGCTGTTAAAAGTTTTTTTTTTCCTGGTGGTAGACGAAGATTCTTATGTCATGACGTACGCACACACGCAAACTATAACAGATTTCATTCACTCCCTTTATCCAATTTTCAAGTCGAATTCATTGGTTAGGCGAAAAAGTGCAATTAAAAAAATGGGTTCTTATTAGAGGCTAACACGTATCATTATACTTCTCCGTTCCTTAATATAGGACCTAATTGTTGATTTGGTTTTGGTTATAAATATAAGACCCATTTTTCATATTTATCAATTTTCTCTAAATTACTCTTATGGATACTCCCTCAACCATAATCAAGTAGAAGAGGGAGAGGAGGTACTAAGAAAGATGATTGTGGTGTTTTAAGAAAAACGTGTCACATTTTTTATAATTAACTAACTTACCTAACTTCCTTCATCTAATCAAATTAGTTAAATGAGTCTTATATTAAGAACTGGGAGAGTACAAGAATTTCCCCAGATCTTCTTAATATTGAGTTTCTTCGCGTAACGTGGCCATTTCGGTTAAGCTTCTACATATGTTCGTAATGATGTGAAACGTAATTGTGATTGGAAATGGACATTAATGATTAAACTAATCTCTTGGTTTTATAATTAATGCATATAGTTAACATCAGAGGCTCATTCATCCTATATAGGACATTCTAAAAATGCTGCCAAGTGCCGACACAAGAGAAAGGCGTGCAGTGGCTACTTTCTAGGAATAAAAACTATGTAATTAAAAGGCAAGTTGGTGTGTTTATCTATTATTACCAGATAACGATTGAAAATGTATATTCTTCACTTTCATATTATCCATTCTCGAACTAATACAATTTTTTCCTGTAAATTTGATTTACTAAACATTATACATAAAGATGTCAAACATATTTAGTATTATTAGTTTATCATATATCCTTCTTCTCTAACTAGCCGCTACGTTGGATTTATTTGTTTTCATATGTTTCTTCATTTCGCCTATAAATATTCAGAGAGCCAACTCACCATATCACCTAGAGTCTCTTTCTTTCTCCTTGGCGTGTAGAAATATTAGAATAGAAAGAAGATGGAGCCCGAGATGCTTGAGCCCTCTTGGTCATTCTATGGAGGCATAAGCTCAATTTTTGATCAAGTTGAGTCTTTTGACTTCAACATGGATACTTCAGTGTTCACTGCTTCAGAGGATACTTGTTCTGAGATTGCTTCCAATCTCCCCTTTCCTTCTACCATCTTCCTCGATAATCATGTCTACTGTACAATTGATGAGAACAGCCTTCAATTCCCATCATTGATTGATGATTTCTCCATGGATCTTGATGGTTTTGATCCCACTTTGAGTTCTCAAAGTCTGGCAAACCATGGATCTGCACAAGAGCTTGAGGGAAGCTTTCCTTCAAAGAAATTGTGTTTTGAGACAGAAGATGTTTGGACTTTGGAGTCCAACCCCATCTACGCAACCAGACATGTCTACACCATCAGTCATCATACCAGCAGAGGACGTGGAGATGGAGAACCAGTTGAGTCTTCCTCATGTTCTGGAAGCCATTGGAGAAGCCTTAGAGCAAGGACAGAACACACTTGCACAAGTGATTCTGAGACGCATCAGCCACAAAGTAAGCCCTCTTGGTGATCCCCTTGAAAGTCTGGCATTCAATTTGTCCCAAAATCATGATGCTACAGAGCAAGGGATTTTCATCAAACGGGAGGCCAGCAAAAGCTTCTTCCACGCTTTTAAGGCTATCTACCAAGGCCTCCCACACGGCAAAACTGCTCATTTTGCGGCCAATTCAGCAATTCTGGATTCCATACCAGCTGATTCAGAAGTCATACATTTAATAGACTTTGATATGGGAGACGGTTGTCAATGGCCTCCATTGGTGGAGGCTATCGCTCAACTGCACAAAACTTTGAAATTGACGTCAATAAGACACGAAGAAGAGGACAATCTTGATGCTGATTTTGCTTCAACCCAATGGAAATTTAAAGAAACCAGAAGGAAGCTCTATGAGCATGCCAAATCATGTGGTTTGAAGTTGAATGTGGAGGAAAAGAGTATAGAGGAATTGGCGACAGATCTCAAGAAATTGAACAAAAGGGGAGGGTATGGAAATGGAAAGAGAAGTTTTGTGACCTTCAATTGCAGGGCGGGTCTTCCACATATGGGGAGGGTCAGAAGTAGAAACCATGTCTTGGAATTCCTTAGGGTAGCAAAAGATTTCATCAAAAGCGCACCTTCTAACAGGGGAATTATAGCTTTTGGTGATGGAGAAGCCTGTGAGAAACTGAGAAACAGCAACAACTTCTTGTCATTCTTCAATGGCCATCTGGTGCATTACCATGCTTCTTTAGAATCCATAGAATCAAATTTCCCATCCCAATTCTCGGAGGCAAGAACAGCTATGGAGAATCCATTCGTAGCGCCGTGTATATCTTGTGAGGATTGGTTTCATAAGTGGGACGAGATGAGACAAGACGGAAATCTTCAAGCAGAAATAGATTTAGGGGGTGGAAGCTTGAGGGAAGAGACATTAACGGAAGTTGGAGAAATGCTGAGAGGAATGGAAGGGTGGTATGAGGTTAAGATTGAAGGCAATAATGGCAACGAGATGGTTCTGCAATGGAAAGGAACACAGCTTCTGAGAATTTCAATATGGGCAAATTGAAGTCCGTAATCCTCTTATAAGTCTGGTTTAGTTTGTAAAGATTTATTATTCGAATTTGTAAACCAAAAATATAAATACATGCTCACTGTATTCTTCCTGTATAGCAAATTTGATGCCATCACATTTATACATGAAGTGAATGGTTCTTTATATAAACAAGATTCTTACATCGAGTGAAATACGACCAACTTAACTCTACTCACAATAAACATTTATGTAAATGATGGTGCATGGAAGCCAATAATGGTTTCTAAGAAGGGTCCCCACATTTCTCACTTGATGTTTATTGATGATTTGCTTCTGTTTGGAGTCGCTAATGAATGCCAGGCTCGTTGTATGATGAATTGTCTTGAACAATTTTGTCAAGCATCAGCGGAGAAGATCAGTAAGAGTGAGTCCTCCGTCTTTTTCTCTCCTAGAGTTTCAGATAATGTCAGGATGGGTATTTGGGAGGTTACTGTTATGAGAATCTCCACTGATATAGGAAAGTATCTGGTATTTCCGATCATTAGGGGGGAAACCATCAGAAACTTTTCATTATATCATTGATAGGGTCAGATCTAAGCTGTTTACTTGGAAAGAGAACTGCCTATCACTGGCGAGTAGGATTACTTTAGTGCAATGACTCATTAGTGCTATCCCTCTATCTTATGCTTGTTGCTAAGTTACTTGTGACTATTTGTTCGGAAGTGGAGAGGTTACAGAGGAATTTTGTATGGGAAAAAAGCAACAATTCTCATGGATTCCATCCTATAGATTGAGATCAGTTGACACTCCTTAAGGATTATGGTGGACTTGGGCTTAAACGTTTATCTTCATTGAATAGGGCGTGTGGCACCAAAATTGCGTGGAATTTGATCACGGGATCCTCCTCTCTTTAGGCTGAGGTTTTATTGCAAAAATACATGCTAAGAAATGAAGTTAAATTGCTTGATGCAGCCGGTAGTGATTCTCCCTTGTGGAAATTTGTGTCCAAGCAGAAAGATAGGTGTCTTAGAAGTCTCACCTCAAAGGAGGAAGAAAGTGAGGTTGTTGATTGGGTAGCATTTGGTGCTTGGGATTTTGAACATTTGGCTAACATAGTCCCAAGCGAGGTTTTCCAGAAATTAATTACTATGTTGTCCCCCATGCCTGAATCTGGCACTGATGTTTTATAATGCAAGGGGTCGGTTGATGGATCTTTCTCTTTAAAAAGTGCCTACTACGTGATCGAGGAAAATCCCACAAATCTCTAAGGCCCAGTTTATTAGCAAATATGGAGATGGAGAGGGGTGGAGAGAATTCAAGTATTCATGTGAGTTTCTTTCAACAACCAGCTACCTACCAATGCTTGGAGAAGTGGTCTTCCACTTCTGCTGTTTGCCCGTTCTGTGACACTGGCATAGAGGATGTTATGCACATTCTTAGAGGAATTAGAGACTGCCGTTATGCTAGGAATATGTGGATTAAGTTGTTGCATCCCTGGTACTATTCCAGTTTTTTTGCAGCTTAATTAAGAGACTGGTTTGCTTTTAGTGTCAAAATAAATTTAGGTAATGACTTGAATTGCATGTGGAGCTTGATTTGGGGAGTAACCATATGGAAGCTTTGGGACTGGAGGAATCGTAGTATGTTTGAAAATTATTTTAGTAAGCCTACAGATCCTGTGTGTGTTTTCCTTCAAACATGGAAGAATTTTGCTCACCTTGGGATGGGTTAAGTTAAATATGGATAGTGCCACGTGCGTCACCAATAAGAAGGGGGGCTGTGGGGGTATTTTACGTGATAATGCTGGCAAGTGGATTGCTGGTTTTACTCATTTCATTGGCTTTTTGGATGCTAATGAGGCTGAAGAGTGGGCAATTTTAAAGGGACTCATGCTTGCCTGGGATCTTGGATTTAGAAGGATTGTACTTTGAGTCTGATTCAAAGAACCTGGTGGAAATATTATCTACTAAATCCTTTAATAAGCGAGCAAGTTTAGTCGCTGTGCAGCTTCTGAAGCTGATGGATTATTCTCGGGAAGTGTCTTTACAGCACATATCTCGTGAACAGAACAAGTTGGCTGACCCTTTAGCGAAGGACGATCTTTCAAGCTCTTTGATATTTGATTCTTGCCTGCTGTAGTCGAGATCTTTGGTTACCAAAGAGTGGATAGGACCTGATTGCCCGGGGTTTTAATTTTTGTGCTTGGGCGTAGCCCTCTTTTATACCCAAAAAAAAAAAAAATCAATAAACCAATATTCCAACAGCAGTATTCAGCATGCTAATTGGTATGGTTTATATATAAAGTTAAAAAATTATCCATTCGTCACAAATAAAAAAGTTAAACATAAATAAATCTCCTCATCATTGTTATTATGGCCAAGGCTCTGCAATCGGCTGGATAAAATGATGAAATTCAGATTAGATAGATTTCACCCAAAATAAATATTCTTTTGTTTGCTTTTGGGCTTCATTTTTTGCTTTCATACATTTGTGTGTGTGTGTGTGTGGATTCCTATAGAGGCTGATAATGAATATTCTCATTTTCATCGCTATGCTTACCCACTTTTCCTCTCCTCATTGCCTCTTCCCCATTGGGTGCACTGCTGCCAAGCATCTGAGACATAATAGTACTTAAAAAAAAAAAAAAACCAAGGCCGCCCTCTTATTTAACGAAACAAAACCGGAACGTTCAGCCAAAAAAAAAAAAAACAAAGGGGGAACGTCCAAATAACAAATAAGTGGAATTTCGGTAGGACTCCATGATTGATTTTAAAAAAAAGGAACAGAATGACGTTGGCTGGAGTGACGTGGGGGAGAGAACGCAACACATGAATCATGTGGTAATAAAGTGTTGTGGGGCTGTATCCCGTATGAAATGAGCAATCGAGCATAACATAATGTACATTGGGTAAATGGATGCCTGACACGTGTCCTCAACAGATGCTTTCATTAATTAAGAGTGGAGCTCTTGATATTGGTTGAATTAGTGAAACCAACTCATCAAAAATAATGGATTAGGATTGTCTAAAACACAATGTGCTAATATGGAGCCGCATGAGAGATCGGCTTAATAGGAAGAGATTGGATGGTGATATTAATTTCATATGCGTTTAAAAATATTTGTATCAATTCACCCAAAAAAAAAAAGTATTTGCATCAATATTTACAAACTTATTTTTTAATAAACTTTTCTTTACAACTTATCTTCTAATAAACTTTTCTAAAGCATAACTACTGTTAAATTCAATTTGAGACCTACGGGTCATTTCCCCAAGTCCATTACCCTCTTCAATTTTACCTCCATTCTCTTCAAACTTTGATGTTTGTACCGTTTCAGATTAATCCCCTCCATCCTTTGTCTCTTTTGAATAAAAAGATGGAATGCATTAATTGCTTTGCAAAAAGCATAACAAAACATGATTAAGGCAGAAATATTGGCTCCTACCTGGGTAACACCATCTGTGACACAGCAAGGTAGTGGCATCACATCATGATTAAGCTAGGTTTTTACATTAAAAAAATGTTTATAAACATACTAATAATATTATACCCCTCGTTTTCTTAATGTATAACCTGATTGTTAAATTGATCTTAGTCCTAATATAAGACCTATTTTTATATTTATCAATTTTTTCTAAAATTTTCCTCAACCATAATCAAGTGGAAGAGGAAGAGAGGATATTAAAAAAGATGATTATAGTGTTTAGAAAAAATATCTCATTTTTTTATAGTTAACTAGTTTACATAATTTTTTTAATATAATTAAATTAGTTAAGTAGAGATTATATTAACAACTTCAACAAAGTTTTGCACTGTCTTGGAAAGCGTAAAAGATTACTTTTAGGTCCTATTTGATACAAAATATTGAAAATGAAGGATAAGGATTGAGATTGGGGTTGAAAACATATGTTAAAAGGATGTTTAGTACAAACATTTTTTATCACATGGAATTAGGCAATCCCATGTAGGTGGGATTGGAGAATACCACTTCCTCTCATGATCTTCTTTAATCCTACATATATAGATTTATCTAATCCTAAATATCACACAATTACTTATACTAAATACCTTTTTAATATAGTTTTTCACTCTCAATCCTAATCCTTATCCCTCATTTTCAATGTTTCGTACCAGACAGAACCTTGGGGTCCATTCGTTCTTGGTCAAGGCAATGGGGTATTAGAAAAATAGACAATGCAAGGTAGTGGGATATTAAAACTTTATGGTGCATTAAAAAATTACTAACTCCGGTCGTAATTATAAGATCTTATTTGTAAACTACAAATAAGATCTTATAATTAGGATCAGAAATAATATAAAGCAAGGTGGTGGATTAAAAAGCTCTTATCAAGGTATCTTTAAGTTAGATATACATAAAAAAAAAAAAAACAAACTACAAGTAAGATCTTGTAATTAGGATCAGAAGTAGTATAAAGCAAGGTGGTGGATTAAAAAGCTCTTATCAAGGGATCTTTAAGTTAGATATACATATAAAAAAAAAAACAAAACAAAACAAAAAACTTCTATTTAGCCAAAGAGTATAATGTTGTACCCCTTCCATACTCAATATAGAAGCTAATTAGGATGTTCATTTTAGTTATAAATATAAAATCTTGATCTATTTTTTCTTTTATACTCCCTCCGTTCCTTATTATAAGAGACATTTGATGCTTATGGCATGTTCCTATATATAAGAGACACTTAAAAGTTGTCTCTACTTTTTTGTGTTGATTTCCTATTTTACCCATATTTATTATCTCCAACTCACACTCTCTCTCCCTCTCACTTCTCTTTCTTTTAATAATTTAATTATTTTCTCTCATACCCTCTCTCCTTATTAATGAGGGCATTTTTGGAAAAAAGATTATACTTTTTACACATTAATTGTTCTTAACTAATTTTAACTATTTTTTTTATCAACGTACTTCGGTTATTTGTCTCTTATAATAAGGAACGGAGGGAGTATTTGTTATTTTTTCTAAATTAATTTATTTAATTTTTAAATTTATATATAATATAATGCTATACAGGGA